TTTTTTGGGTTTATACCTTGAAATTCACCAGCGTATTAGGTGGCGATTCAAACTAAACTTTTTATACTTAGAAAATAAATATATTTTCATAATCATATACCATTTTAAATTTAAATACATTACTAGGTATATACCAAAGTCTAAAACCAGAACTTAATTTATACACCCAAAAATACAAAAAAAAAAATTATTTATTATCGGTTATTTATATTGTCGTATAATCGTGTTAATTTCCATTCATTTTGTATTATGAAAGGCCGCAGTGATGAAAAATGGTTTTCCATGATTTTGGGACATGTTATTATAAAATCAGCTGCAGAGTTTATATTACAAGTATTCACTATAATTGCAATGTGGACTATGTATGATTGTATGAACGTTTTAACCAATTCGTGACAAAAAATAACCAATATAGTCTAGGAAGACTACTTACTTACTTGTATTAACTTAAGTTAAATAAAACTAAAGTTAATAAAACTTTAGATTTCAGATCTACTGACTTTAATTCAAACTTGTAGCTTACCTAGCAATGTTTTCGACTGTTCAAAAAAATTATGCAAATGCATAAAAATCCGGGCCCTAATCATAAGCATATAATAGGTTGACGTTTTACTTGGATAAGCATTTAATGTGTAAATACATTTAGCAGGGTACGTTTCATTTGGACAAAAAGAAAATTTTTATTTGCGCATAGTAGGTAATATGATCTATTTTATTGCACAAACGAATAAATCATATCGTGTGGGTGAATAGGAAACTTAGTCATTTTCTTTCTCAATTTTATAAATACAATTAGGACTCGCTAAGACTGATTAGATAGTTGGTTCAAAATTGCTGAGTTGAATGCTTATGAAGTGTAGGATACTTATTTTGTCAGTGTATTAATAATAATTTTAAAAAAAAAATTGAATTTTAATAATGTAAAATAAATAATTTTTTTTATTAAACAAGTTTATTCTTATCTCTCGATAAATTCAACTCGCCAAATGGTATGTTTGAAAATTTGTCAAAAAAAGGTTATTCACCCAAATTAACTGTCCCATATTTAAAATTTAACATTTGGAATACGAGATCTCGGTTTTTTTTAGAAATAATAAATATAGAAGCTGTGCAGAGATTCAAGTATGATAAGTACATTTTGTGAAATAAAAATGGTAATGAATTGGCAATTATGCATAGTAAGTGTGAAGATTACCATCCATTGATGGAACTCTAGATAGTGAGTGAGAGAGACAGATCGCTATTAAAAAACAAAATAAAAAACGAATTTTCAATTATTTTTGAAGTTAATATTTGAAGGTAAATCTAGGTTGTCATAATGATGAATGAAACAACGCAAGCCGCGTTAGTATTAGTTATAAATCAGTCGATATGAAAACTAAGATATTTCATATAAATAAATACCTACAATTCATTGGATTTCTTTTCGGTGTTCATATAAGTATATAGATTCGTTGGGCTATAATAGTGGGTATGCGTACTTGAAGCTAATAATAAAAAGAAGTATATAAATATTGTTTTAAGACCAAAGTGTTTATAAGTTTTCCAATTTCCAATTTCGTCGAATAAATAGTTTATTCGTGTACACATCAATAAGTGGTTCGATTATAAATATTATACACAAATATTATAAATTTATAACACATAGTTAATGGAACCTATACATAAACGCGTATTTTCACGATAATCAAATAATTATATACGGCAGTAATTTTTAAACCTATAGTCTGTAGTTTGTGTATACGGGTCATATGAGCACAACCATTAAAAAAAAAATTCTCATTTGATAATAATGTATAATATAAATGGACCATCTTCGGTTAAAATCCAATCGTCTTGCTTTTCGATCTCATAGAATAATCATCAAAAAATAACCCCCGAGGCCCGGCTAGTGTTCTATATACGTATACGAAGCTATTATAATATAATATTATATATACAGTGTCAGAGGGAGGCTGGGTGCCTGTTATGCCATACGTAATATTTTTAATCGACTGCAGCGGCTCAGCCAGAAGCTAATAATCGTTTTGGAATTCTAGGCGTCCGATCGATAATAATCACTTTTGTAGCGGTAGCGGCGACGGCGGCATTGATAACGGCCGCACGTAATTTACGGCGTGTTAGAAATTGACCGACCGGGATAGCTGTTGATTCGTAGCCGTCAACGGTCGTTTCGCCGTGTGTGCCTATTATATTATATTTTATTATATCGGACGGACGCTGCTCACGACCGGACAGCGGCGGTGGAATAGAAAGAGGGGAAGCGGGAGAGGGCGAGAGTGGGAGAGAATGCGTGTAATCACGTGTAAACGATGTAATTAATTTTACGCGTCGAGAACAAAACAACGTATATTTGCATAATATAAAACAAGTCTTTGGAGCAAAAATATTACGTCTAGTTGGAAAAAGTAATAGAATAGACGGAGAAAAGGCGGACAGCGACTCGCGGTGTGGTGTGCACCTTATATATATATATATACACACGCACGTGTATTATTATAATATATATATATATATACCTACCTATTATTAAGACGAATGCCGCCCCGCGTCCGACGTGTGTGCACGTATTTCGATTAGACCAAAGGGAACCGGTCGTAGGAGGTTCTCGTTAAGAAAGTGGCCATCTTCATGTCCGAAAACGGCACCTACCATACAATATAGGTACCTGTGCCTGTCGTCTCGCGGCGCTGTGTGATGTACACATATTATATTATTAATATTATTATTATTATTATTATTATTATTATTATTATTATTATTAATATATTATTATGCACATACTATACTGACGGCGTGTTAATAAACGCTTGTCAACGTAATGTTGATACCCATTGGCAAGTGTTATTAATATTTATTGTTTGTTATTAATTTTTGCCGCGAACGACTGAAAGTTTTTCACATTATCGCCGGGCCGGGTCGGGCCGTTTCGGGAATACGAGTAAACCATGGTAGTGAACATCGTGTGGTGGGTTAACGAAATTATATATACGTATTAATATATTATATTGATCATGGATCCGAGACGGTTGAAAAGAAAAACGTCTGGAAATAAGCCTTTGTTCATTTATTTGTAAGAAATGTTGTTGCATTTCCTTTTTTCGAAAATTGTTTCCCCCGTGATAGTTGACTTTCACCTTAATTTTCAAGAGTTGTAATAGTTTATTCAACTCTTGGTTATCCGTTTCATTGATTTTATCAAACTCAAAATGTTGGTCAATCGAATCATAGGATAATTCAAAATTACCTACAGCTGAGTTACTCTTGTTTTGCAGTTATTTAATATATTTCTTTCTGTTCAACATTACTATAGAAGGAGATGGATAAAAAAAGATAAAAAGAAATATACACATGGAATTTCAGACGGTCGTTGAAAATTATTGATGTAGAGAAGACCACGTTCTGTAAGATATAGGTGAACAATTCTAAAATTTGAACACCACCCCATCGCTCGTAAAATATGAAATCGATTTCCGGGTGCCCATCACGTAACGCTCGGAACCCGGTTTTTGATGTACTTGACTTATTATCTCGGAAATCACATCAGTAATTGTTATACAATTTTTACAAATTTGTAAAAACAAGAAAGTACATATGTACCTAACTTGATTTTGTTTTTTTTTTAATAAATATATTTGTTTTAAGGACACGGTAGGTAGTAATATGGTGTAGTCATTAGTCATTACCTTAATGCAACAGAAAGATTTTCTTCAAATTGAATGGATATAAGTAACAATTATTGATGTGGTTTTCGTGTTGTTAAGTCAAATACATCACAAAGCGTCACGTTATGCTGGCACCAGGAAATCGATATTGGATTTTACGAGCGATGGGGAGGTGTAAACATTTTGGAATTGTGGTTACAAATTTGTACAAATCGTATACTAATTACTGATGTAGTTTTCTAGTCGAATTTCAAACATTCGGGTGCCAGCGTCACGCACATATCGCTTACGGGTATTAATCGAAATTTGACCAGCAAAATTTTAAAATAATAACACGTTTGATATTTCAAGGTAGGTAGTAAAATATATTTAATTAATAAATATATCATCTATTTAAAACCGATTCTAATAAAATTCGTTTTTATTAGATCAATGAAATCTGTAGGTCAGCGCTATCCAAGCACTGTAATGTTTGAAATCTAATTTTAAAATTATTCCGCTTAATGTACCTATTTTATTTTGTCGTCTGATTTAAGTACCGAAATTTAAAAAAAAATAATGACCTCATAGCTAAGTAAATTATATAATGTAGGTACCTAACTATAATATATGTATTTTTTAATTTATGAAAAGTACATACATATTATATGTTTTTTCTAGGTAATTCGAGATTCGAGAATGAAGGTAATTTATTGTGCCTTTTGTACATGTTTAGTGGTTCATAATTAATAGTTTCACCATCCGATATGGTAACACGGAAGTTATTTAACATGATAGTATATTAGCCATTAGGGATGCCTTAGAATTTTAAATTAAGATATGCCTACATTTTTTTAATCTTAAAAAGATTAATTTACTACAACTTTTGTTCTATATACTTTTTTTTGTTGAACATAATGTAACATAATTCGGAACATTTACCACATTAATTTTGTGATTGTGCGTGTTATAGCACCATAGCTTATACAAACCACCACTAAATTTTTTTTTTTCTAAAACTAGCGTATAGTCCGGCCACTGAATAATTTCACAATAATATTTCACAGACGTGCAGACGATCGTGCGCGATTTGCCCAGCGTGGAACGACCCGCGCGATCATCATTAAAAACCGGACGCGCATAAATATTATAGATAATTCGTCAATCCGTGTACCGGGCACAATACTAACGATTAATGTTATGTTATATTGTTATTATTAAGGTCATTATTAATGCCTCTGCATAAACACGGATGCGATGTTTACCACCCGTCGGGTTATCGAATCGACTGTGTGTAAATCAAACCAGGAAAAAACGATGCGGCATGATGACAAGACAAATATTTGGTCGAATTANTCAACACATGCCAGGTCTATGCGGAGCAGTTAGTTTGCCAATAAGATTTTTGCTGATATTAATTTGTTTAATTTCCAAATATATTTTTAATTTTTCCTTGAAAATAGGAAATTTGTCAAATAAACTCATTTGTTTTCCAGCATACATATAATTAAAATCTATATCAATCTAGAATAATGAAACATTGGGTTTAATACAAAGCTTATCATACAACAAATACAATACTAACTAAAATATGACCAGTAGGTTTGGTAAGGGCTATATATGTATTCATCATATTATTATTTTTGTCTTTTAATCGATATGATGCTGTTGCTTTCCAGAGTTTATGAAGAGTAATGTCTGGTTCTATATTGTTTTTGAGCCAGGTTAATGAGTCTTTATAATCTTATGTAACAAAACAATAACAGGCATAATTTTGATTTTTATTAGTATTAAATAGGTTAGGTAGTACCTACCATTTCCTTATTTTAAACCTTTATTTAACAATACTATTATAGAAATAATAAAAACAAAAAAATGAATAGCAATAAATTAATGTTACCTTCATGATTCAAATTTATTTCTTGATCAGACTCTGATAGATGCCTTTTCTTTACATTACTTATCTTGCTGATTTCCTTTTTAATATTACAAAATTTTCCATATAGTTTACCTCTATTGGGACTTATTATATTACCCTCTTTACAGTACGGTATGAAATAAGTTTCCTCAGTCTCAGAAGGAAATAATTCTTCAATGCCTCAAAAGTGGAAAAAAAAATATTATAACGATAAAATGTTATACCTTATAAACTTTCAAAATTACCTTTTGCTAAAATTATAAGCCTTGATCTGTTTAAAATGACTTGGGAGCGAATTTGATCTTTTATTATTACAGAAACTAGTTTATTTCGCATGGCCTCATTGAAATGTGATTTAAGTTTGTAATAATCTAATACAAACTCTCCATCTTGGTATTTTGATAAAATAGTTTGTATCTGTTGCGCCAAAGAATTATCATTGTTTTTAGTAGTTGTATAGGAGCATTCTGCAGTTGGAACTTCATTAACATATTAAAATACAGGTATTTACTATTTTAATTGAATAGCGTTTGGTTTTAACTTAAGACAAGTAAAAGTAAAATCAAGAAAACAATATGCCAATACCTATACTATATAGTAAGTATTGAATATAATACTATTGGTAATACTATATAGCATAATGTATAAATTATATTAATAAAATGATTTAAATACTGAGGGGGTTACCACAATGATCTTTGAATTCTTGGACTGCAGTATTACAATTGTCAGGTATTGTATCACATACTATGTTATCTGTAGAATTAACATCTTCAAAGCTATCCATCGGAGCTAACTCTATTTCTAAATTATCCCAGTCAATTATATCATGTTTCTTTTTAGAATCAACAGAAACATTCTATAGGTATAACAATAAAAAAATGATATACACATATGCTATATTATCTATGATGAAGATAAAAGTTTTGAAATGTTAAATTTTTTTTCCTACTTTTTGTATTTTTAAATCTTCTAAATGTTTTAAAAATTTAGATCGTTGACCAATTATAGGCAACAACTCTATTATCATAGTCTCAGTAAGATTCAATAGTGCTACTTGATCTATTTCTTGATCTAAAAAATGTATAAAATTAGTTTGCAGATTTGAATAGACAATTTTTGAGTGTTTATTCTCTTTACCTTTAAATATTGTTATTATTTCAGTTGAAAAACCCCATTGTTTCATTATATCTTGAGTGTATAAATCCATAATTCAAAAAGTATACTATTACAGTAAGTCCTATAATAATTTGGACATCAGTGTTTTGTATGAAATTATCCAACTACATTGCTACAATATGAATATTATAATTGGCAAGGCTGGGTAAATTAACGATTTTTTTAACTCGTTAAGTTAAGTTGATATACCCGATGAGGCATAGAGAACCTCTGTGATATCTAATAGTTCCCAAGCCAACAAAGTTATAAATTAATGGGTTGTATACAATTTTAAATTTAAACTAATTTTTATAAATCTGTATACAATTAACTAAGTTACCACGTTAAATATGTTAAAAGTTAGTTTAAAAAAAAGTAACTGGTTACTCAAATTAGTTAATATCAACTTAACGTTTTAAATTCATTTTAATTTTTAACTCGTTATAATGTCCAGCCTTGATAATAGGTAGGTATACCTATATTATACTATTTTATACTGCAGCAATATTAAAAAATAAAAATATTAAAATCGACAGTATTTTAATTTACATACTTATAGGTAGCAGGTACCTAACTAATAATTAAAAACTAAATTAATTAGACTTACCTCAGGAACAGAATCTCCAAACTTCCAAAATCCCCAGCTAGTACAGTTGGCAGGTAAATGTTAAAATGTTTGTAATGAGTTATGAGTATCAACATTGACAACATTCAACAGTCAAGTAGTCAAATGTTGAAATGAGAAGTATAAAATGACCAAAATCAAAATAAATTGTGGTGTGTGTGAGAAATAATATAAATAACACGAATGTCGAATACAGAGGATCATAAAATATGGACAATGACGACTGCAGCGCCGCA